AGCTGAAGAAACAAATGTCATCCAGGAAACCTTTCTTGCCTCCATTTTTGTTTTTTTTTTTTTTTTTTTTTTTACAGTTGGTGTTTTGAGAGACTTTGTAAGAAGCCACCTTGCAGATGCAGATTTGCCATTCTACTTGTGTGAGTGCACTGTTAGTAATATTTGGCTCTACTTTACAAAGACTGTTCCTAGCTCTGATTGCTCTAATGCATGTGGGGTCTGGATGCCATAAGATACAACCTGGGGAGGGATTTCTTATTCAAATATGGCCTCGGAATGGAAAGAAGGTGTAATTCTGGTCACGTAGCCACATTATGCTTCTGCCTAATATGAGGTGTATGTGGGCAATAAGAATGTGCCCTCCTTTTGAAGGGGAGCAATTCCTTCCATACCTGTTGCATTTATTGTTTTGGTTGCTGGGTGGCCCTGTTTTGTAACTTATTTTTTAACTTCAGTTATTGCACCTCCCAGAATCGTCTTGAATGATGAAAGTTTGACGCTGTTTGAGGTAAGGACTCATGCTTATACTTTGTTATTCTTCCTCTGACATGCTGTTTCTTCCACCCATCCCAACGTACCTTAATTGGTTTTAAAAGAAGCTGTTTAATGTCACCATCCCTGTAGATTTTTGCTTAGCCAAGACTAATGGAACCAGGTGTTTTAAAGCATGAGCTCTTCACCAGAAGAGGTCCACCTTGTGCAGCAATACGTAGTGTCATGATGAGGAGGGTGAGGGGGTCATATTATTGTATACGTCGACTCTGTGCCCTGTGGAGCCTGCACCATATGTAGCCTGAAAAGTTATTATATGAGCTGTGTAAATGAGTTTGCTGTATTTGTAGTTGGCCCAGTATCGTAGGAGACATAGTTGGCTCAATATAGTAGGAGACATAATACTGGTTTGGGATAGATGACAGTTTTTAACTTCTACAGCAGAAGCTAAATGCCATATTAGACAAAAAATCTGACCTTTTTGGTAATCATTGTACAAGAGTTTATTTTAAGATAGCTTGTACATTGTAGAGCATGTACTTTCTATGTTGTAATTTTTCTCAAAGGCTGAAATTTAAATCCTGGAAGTTATTTGCAAATGTCAAATAACGTGATGCTGATGTCTCTGACCAAAGACTTTTGGCTGCAGAAATCACACATGTGCAGAGAGACTGGCCAAGTGATTTTGCAAGTGACTTTGCCCTAGACTCCATATTTTTAATATGGGGAGCCATTCAGAATGTCGTGGACATGTGTAGAGTGATGCCCTGAAGATCCCTTCAGGGTGAAGGGTCAAGCAGGTCCTAGTGAGAGTTTTTTGATTGATGCCTCTGAGGGTCGAGAAGGAGCAGAATGGAGAAACAAAGAGAGAAGGAGAGGGAGAAAGCGACCTTTCAGACAGCACACTGAATTAGAGAGGGATTAGAGAGCCTCTGAAGTTGTTTGTAATGGAGCTTTCCAAATTCCACAACCTTCTGGCCAAGCCATGTGGAAGAGATACAAGTGCAGCTGCTCTTGCTCTATTGCATGTTCAGGGAGTCAAATAATTTGAGTCCCTGTTTTTGCACTCAGAAGTCTCTCCCCATCCTAATACCTCATTAAGATTTTTCTCTTTAAGAAAATATGAAGTTTGGGGCTTGGTTTTATTGGTATCCAAGTTCCTTTTCTTACTCTCACGGTTCCTGTGACAGGTATGGCATCCTAGATGATCAGTAGCTTTTGGCTCCCACGCAGTGCACAGCCTGTGCACTGCTGTTCCTATCAGCCTCCCGACTCTACGTGAGCATCGCTTGTTTGCGTGCACAGTGCGCGTGACTCTCTGCCTTCCATCTGGCAGGAGGCAGGGGGACACTCTATGTATTGGTAAAACTTAATGTCATCCTGGGTCGGGGAGAGGAGTCAGAGCAGTGTTTTTTCTCTTGTGTAATTTGTACTGTTAAATCCTTTGTTCAGTATCGGGCATGTTACCTGTGTGTGTTGCGTGGGCAGCAATTTCTGATTTTCCAAGTTGTGACATTTACTTTGGAGTTCATTCCTTACAGCAACTCTTGAAAGACTATTTCACTAAATGTAGTTCTCTGTAAAGGCTTTCAGGTGCCTTAAGCCCAGTCTCTTTTAAATGGCTTTAGAAACTACTATTTAAGGAAGAGCTCGGTCTTTTCTCATATCAAGTGTCATCAATTTGTAATGGCTTCTCTGAGATTTGCGTGTTATATCACGACAAAGATGCAAAGCCATAACAGAGCACAAAACGGAGATGGTTAAAGATACAGCAGTCTAAAGCTGAAAATTCTGCTACAAATTATTTTAAGGATCAATCTTCCTAATTTTTCACCTTCTCTGTGTCAACATAAAAGCATCAGAATATCGAATTCAGGAAAAACGTGACAAATTAGATACAAATACAGAATCATTATAATTATTTGCAAAACGTGAAAAGCAAAATCTCTTGTGTAAGGTTCAAACACTTTTTGCAAAGGGCAGTAGTGATGGGCTGAAGAAACTAAGTTTCTTGGTAGTACAGTTTTAACTGGAAGAGAATATGCATCTGCAACATGATGAGAATATGATCTTTTTTGCTCATGACTTTGTCACCCACACGCCTGAGGAGTTTGCTGATATGGTTATACCAATAGACCTGAGTGAACTTTTTCTGCTGGATGTTGCCAAGGTTTATGGTGAGTTTACAGGCCCTTGCTGCAAGTTTTGTGATCTTCCTGCTTCAGCGGTTGAATGTAGAAATTTGCACAGTTTGACCCGGACGGTTTGGGCTAGCAGTGCTACTCAGCGAGGTGCAGAGGTTCCGCAGAGAGGAAGCCGGGTGGCTTTGGATTGGGATGAAACAGCGCTGCAATTGTGTGAAGGAGAAGGCACTTTGTGTGTGTCCATGGTATCATATGAGAAGGCAGCGAGGAGTGAGGTGGCTTGGAAGGATTAACATGAAGTGCAAAGAGGAGATGGCATGAGGAGATGTGGATGGGATGGGATTTGGGTACCTCTGCCTTTAAAATGATTTGGAGGCAGCAGATTCCAGCTGCCAGGAATGTGAACTGGGGGAGGGGCACCCCAGCTGTGCATTAAAGCCCTGAAGCTGTTTAATGCAGCTGTATGTAAAGCAGCCTTTACATAAAATGGCTTTGCAGAGTGGAAAAGCTGTGTTTGATGCCTGTGGCCATGTCGCCTGTGTCCCATGTCTGGACCTCTGCAGCCTTTTCAGGTCACAGTCTGGTGGTGACAGGAATGGTTCTGTGTGTTTATAAACATTTTATTTGGAAGAAGCATCAAACGGGGGAAAAAAACGATCCCTGCTGAGGACTTGTCATGCCCCTCCTGTCACCCACGCTGCTTGATGGACACCACAGTGCTGCCGCCTACCAGTCCAGTGCCTTGTCCTGGCATAGGTTGGCTGATTCTGGGTAACGTTTTGCTCCCTGTTACCCCATTAAATCTTTTCATCCGTGACTCTTGCCTCGAGTCAGCGCAGGCTCCATGCCGTAACGTCTTCGGCTCGGATAGAGTTTCCCGGCTGCTGGAGACCTGAGTGCTTGGCAGGGGCTGAAGGGGGCTTTCTTCTCTGGAAAGAAACGGGTGCGGAAGCTGCTCTGGCTTTCATGTCCCTGGCAGCTCTGTTATTGTTGGATGCCCTTTTTACGGGCGGCTGTTACTAATCAAGCTGCTTTGCTGAAGTCTCGGTGCTCTTGGTAAAAATGAAACTGGCACAGAAATGAGCAGCAGAGGTGTTATTTCTGGTATTGGGCCAAGTGAGGCAGCAGTGGGGGCAGAATTTGCTCTCCACTTCTTCTCAGCGGTGCTCATCCTCCAATATTGTCTTCACACTCTCACCGTGGGAGGATGTTTGTGCCGCAGGGCTGAGCGCTGCGGAAAAGACTGCAGTGCCTGATCCCATATGGATGGGGCTCAGCCCCGGGACCCTGGGGTGGTCAAAGCCTTGGCCTCTTCCAGGCTCCAGGTGATTCATTGCAAGGAAGCCTTTTGTACCGGAGTCAGAGTGACCGGGCTGTTAAGGCTGGAGCCAGTGGTGTGAGCAGCAGCCTCTAAGAATGAGCCTGGTGCACCTAACGTGGCTCTGTAGTGAAGTTGTGTTGCCTGACACTTTGTTCTAATTTTAGGTGACTGTCAAAACTGTGTTTTTGTTCAAAATGGATCTTCCAAAACATGTATACTGCCCTGTATTTTTTTTTAATAGTTCCCTGTATTTTTTTAATAGTTAACTGCCATATTATTTGGTGTTCACTCTTTCATATACATCTTGCTGAGCAGACAATAACATACCAGAATAGAATTCTTTCTTGGAATACCTCTGGATCCATATTGGAAGTGACTGACTTTCAGAGGAAACGAAATCAATTAGCCTTTGTCCAATTAGGCTCTTCCATAAATACTTTTTTTTTTAGTATGCTTTGTTATCCTTTTGTTGTTAGGGACTTCTTAGATGGATGTTTCCCACTCATGGTGTTCAAATTCTTGAGAATCAGAGAATAAGAAATAGTTGAGAATAACAAAGAATGGGATAGAAGTTGACTTACGGTTTTTCCACAGCCGATCCTTGGTTTTCTAGATTGCCTCACGTCTTCTGCATATATGTGATGCTATTATGCCTAAGCATAAATGGATTTTTATTACTGCTTTTAAGTAGTATTGCAGCAGCATCCAATTACTTATTCCCCTCAGTATAGCTGTGAACTACTTAACTGCCTTCTATTTTCTCTTTTTCTTTGGGAAACACATTGGTAATAGGGAACTCTAGCAGCATCCTCTGATGATATGGGAATTGTCTCAAGGAACTTCAGAATGAGTTTCTAGAAATTTAAGGTAGTTGTGGAAAGTGTCAGAGGCAGAGCCTTATCCCAAACACAGTGTGTTCTGGACACTGACCACTGCCAGCCTGTATGTTTTAGCAGCTTGTTCTCATGAAGATTGCATGTTATCTGAACAGATCACAAGGGTGATCTACTAGGGTAGAGGATGGAGTTCCCTTTTTGTCACCTGCCTGGGAACTGGGAGGTGGGAATCATTGTCCAAGGTCAAATCTGAATCATGGAGTTGCATTTAGGCTTTTGTGGCATGTGCCTGTGATGGTATTATGCTAGTAGTAAGTTACCCTTCCACTCTTCAGACTGCCATAGTACTGTATATAAGAAAAATAAATGGGGTCTGAAGCAATGTGAACATATTCCAGTGTTTGAATATTCATAAATGACTGAAACTTGTGCTGAAGCCAGTAACAGGAGTCGTTGCAGATGGTGGAGTACCATCTTGTCAGCGCTTCTACTCTCTCCACCCTCTCCTTCCAGACAAGCTGGTAAGATCACTGGAACCACATTTGTTAAATTCGAGTGCTTACAGTGAAGGAGGAACCTTTATGTTTCAAGCAAAACCAGGAAAGACAGACAAACATTGTCAGCTTGTTTGCCAAGAAACAGCGGCTGAAGAAGTATGTCTGAAGCGAATTGTCCTGAAAAAAGTGTATTTACAGTATAGTAAGCACACAGATTGGCTGCAACATGGAGTTTTTGGAAACCATAAAGACTTCAAGGCATTGTTTTGATATTTTATTATTGCTATTTTTGCTGGCTGTGTTATCCTCATGTCCCTTGAATTGTTTTATAATGTTGTGTTCTCCAGAACTGATCAAATGCAGCCTTCCCTATTGGCCTAGGATTCCTTTTAGCTCTGGTTGCTTGTTTGTGCCTTTCTAGACGAGTTTCCTAGAGCTGCTTTTCTCCTCCTTTCTTCTCTCAGAAGTATGTGCTTGTATAATTCAGATCTGGGGCTTTAGTGGAGCCAGTCATTGACTGCTAATGCATCATTGTTTTTCAGAGAAGCTAAAAGAATCCACAC